TGATATATATGTTCCTATTGACATTTTTTTTAATGTCAATTAAAACATTTGTTTGTTTTTGGTTTGTTTTCATAGGTCTTTCCTTTCTCTTGTGTTTATTGCCTATATATGTCCCTTTAATATCTTTTGTAAAGCTGGTTTGGTGAAGCTAAATTCTCTTAACTTTTCTTCTTTGTAAAGCATTTGATTTCTCCATCAATTTAGAATGAGATTCTTGCTGGTTAGAGCAAGTTTGGTTGTAGACATTTTCTTTCAGTACTTCACCTAGTACTGACCTAGGAACTGAAATTCCACAGGTGGTTTGTTTTGGCATTAAAGAGTATTAAAACAAGCACACTAAAACAAGAAAAAAAATGCAAACCCCAGACAAATGGCAAACGCAAAATCAGGCAAATGGTAACTACAATAATGGAATACATACACACACACATATACACCCATAAACAAAACCAAAGCAGTCCAAAAAAAAGAAAGAAAGAAGAAGATATTCACCCGTCAAGCAAAGGAAAGCAAAAATGATATCAACTAGTTAAAAACAAAACTAACTAAAGCATAAACTGGAAAAAAAAACCAAAGCACTGTGCCAACTTGGGAATAATGCAACAAAAACAAAACAGGCTAATAAACATGGTGAGGAAAAGAGAGAAAAGGAAGAAAAGACTAGAAAAGCAAAGTTAAATAGAGGTAGCTAAAGGAGATTTATATATATTAAAAATAACAACAGGAAAAGGATAAGAAAAGCAGACAAAAGTGTATGTAGAAAAATGATAATAAATTCAAAAAGTTTGTTTTAAAAGGGAAGAACCCACTCAAAACTGCAAAAGGCCAACATAAAGTCAGATGTATTTAAAGGAAATAAAAAATTCTCAAAAGCATGAATAGATTTAATAGTACTAATAAGGAGAGGGGCGGCGGCGGGGTTAAAAAAAATACTACTAATAAAATCAACAACTATAGCAACAGAGGAAAAGAAAAAAAATCCAAAGGCAACTACCATATAAATTAAAATATAAAAATAATAAATTTTTTCTTGGATCTCAATTGTCAATGTCTTTTCCCTTCCTGTGAGTCACAGTCCATCTCGTTTTCCTAGGATGCCCTCCAATGCTGGGCTGGTCTCTGGATCTGTTTGGGGGCAGCTCAGACTCTAATCTGGTCCTCCAATGGCGTGTTCTTGCCTCCATTGTCTGTAACTGCCAATGCTAGTGTGTTTTCTTTTGCGGGTCTCATTGACCTTTTCTATACTCCATAGACACAAAATCTGCCTAGTTGATTGTGTGGATTTAATCTGCAGCTTGTACCACTGGTGGGAAGGTTTTGGGTTCTTTTTCTTAGCCACACTGCCCCTGGGTTTCAGTTGTGGTTTTATCTCCACCTCTGCATGAGTCATCCCCAGGGGTTTGCTCCCAAGGCTGCCCTGGAGGAATTTGATCTTCCCCAGGGAGGACTCTGTGTAGGTGGTGTAGCTGCTTGGATTGCAGGAGCCCTGGCAGTCTCAGGTACTCAGGGGAGCCACTGTCTAGGACAGCAGGAAATATGGTGCTCTTAGGGTTTTTCTGGGCTTCCCTGGTGGCTCAGAGGTTAAAGCGTCTGCCTGCAATGTGGGAGACCTGGGTTCGGTCCCTGGGTCAGGAAGAGCCCCTGGAGAAGGAAATATTAACCTGCTCCAGTACTCTTGCCTGAGAAATCCCATGGATAGAGGAGCCTGGTGGGCTACAGTCCATGCAGTCATGAGAGTATTTAGCAACTAAACCACCACCACCACCCGGAAGGAGTATCTAAGAAAGCTCTGAGAACTGTTCTGCCACTTAGAAGTCAAGACACAGATATATAAGTTTTTTTGAGACAGAGGACTTAAAAACAAAAAGCAAAAAAACTGCCAATATTTTTGACAGTTTGCATAATCCAGATCTAAGTGTCAGTTATTATTATTGACAGTTTGCATAATCCAGATCTAAGTGTCATCGTGGTAGGTCATGTGACCCTTTACAATANGCCAATCCTTTGGCCACCTGATGTGCAGAACTGACTCATTGGGAAAGACCCTGATGCTGGGAAAGATTGAAGGCAGGAGGAGAAGGGGACGACAGAGGCTGAGATGGTTGGATGGCATCACCAACTCGATGGATATGAGTTTGAGTAAGCTCTGGGAGTTGGTGATGGATGGGGAAGCCTGGCATGCTGTAGTCCATGGGGTCACAAAAATTTGGATCAACTGAGCCCCTGAAATCATACAGCATCCCTGTTCAGGGTACGTATGGCTGCAGCAAGGATTGTCTGTGTGATTCTCATTCCATTCAGACAGTCACAGATCAGTTGCCTCACTGTCCAACAGCCTCAAGTGCTTCTCCTCTGTCCCAAACGGTTGTTTCAATGTGGGATCTCACCCCTGCTTCAGTTCACCCCCAGGTGCAGTCCTCTTCACACTCCTCTTTTCCCCCCTACTTCTTTCATTCTACAGAGTTTGCATGGTTCTGTATATTCTTTTCTGGTGATCAGGTACTGCTGCTCACTCTCAGCTGGTGTTCTGCAAGATCGTCTGTGTCTGAAGGTGTATTCCTGATGAATCCATGGAGAGAGAAGTACTGTTTGTCCACCTATGCCTCCACCATCTTGGATATCCCCAACATGCCTATTTTTTTTAAGGAACCTCTGTACTCTTTTCCACAGAGTCTGTATCAGTTTACTTTCCCATCAGCAGTGTAGGGAGGTTCTCTTTTCACCACACCCTCTCCAGCATTTATATTGGTAGATTATTGGATGATGGCTCTTCTGATCAGTGTGATACCTCACTGTAGTTTTGATTTGCATCTTTTCGTGTGCTTCTTGACCATGTGTGTGTCTTCCTTGGAGATGTCTGTTTAGTTCTGCTCATTTGTGATTTGGGTGTTTTTTTTTTTAATTGAATACATGAGCTATTTGTAAACTTGGGAAATTAATCCCTTATTGGTAATATGGCTTGCAGATACTTTCTCCCACTCTGTGGGTTTTTTCTGTGCAAAGGCTTTTGAGTGCAATTAGGTCTCATTTTCTTCTTTCCATTACTCTGGGCGATGAACTTAAAGATACTGCCGCGATTTATGTCAGAGTGTTCTGCCTATGTTTTCCTGTTTTATAGTATCTGGTCTTATATTTAGTTATTTAATCTATTTTGAATTTCTTTTTGTAGATGGTGTTAAAGAAAGTTCTCATTTCATTTTTTTTAATGGGTAGCTGTAGTGAGACTATTTCAAAGGAGTAGCTTCTCTGTGTGTAGTGGAAGCTGGTGGGCAAGGCTAGAGAGAAACTAGGGCGAGGAAAACATGCGGTTGTGCATGTGTATTTTCGCTGAGCAGAGATGGGGAGAGTAGCTGGTGTACAGAGAATAAGGTGACAGGTTATGGGTACCTCAGACTTCCCTGGTAGCTCAGCTGGTAAAGAATCTGCCTGCGATGCAGGAGACCCTGGTTCGATTCCTGGCTCGGGAAGATCTGATGAAGAAAGAATAGGCTACCCACTCCAGTTTTCTTGGGCTTCCCTCGGGGCTCAGATGGTAAACAATCCACCTACAATGCAAGAGACCTGGCCTTGATCTCTGGGTTGAGAAGATCCCCTGGAGAAGGGAATGGCTACAACTCCAGTATTCTGGCTTGGAGAATTCCATGGACAGAGAGTCTGGCAGGCTACAGTCCACGGTGTTGCAAAGACACAACTGAGCGACTTTTACTGTGGTGTGTCAGGGCAGCAGATGCTAGAGAGACAGCTCCATGGAGACAGGGACATAAGCGGTTGATACAGTCACAGCCTGGAGAGCCCAACAATATTCCGCTGTATATATGTACCACTCCTCCACTGATGACATCTAGGTTGCTTCCGTGTCCTGACTGTTGTAAACAGTGCTGCAGTGAACACTGGGGTACATGTATCTTTTTGAATTACGGTTTTCTCTGGATATATGCCCAGCAGTGGGATTGCTAAATCATTTGGTAGCTCTGTTTTTGTTTTATAAGGAATCTCTGTACTCTTCTCCACAGAGGCTGTACCAGTGTACATTCCCATCAACAGTGTAGGGAGGTTCACTTTTCTCCATACCCTCTCCAGCATTTATTGTTTGTAGATATTTAGGTGATGGCTGTTCTGAACAGTGTGATGCCTCATTGCAGTTTTGACTTGCATTTCTCTAATAGTCTCTCTAAAGATGCTGAGCATCTTTTCACATGCCTCTTGGCCATGTGCATGTCTTTTTTGGAGAAATGTCTGTTTGTATCTTCTGCCCATTTTTGATTGGATTTTTTTTTTTATTGACTGCATAAGCTGTTTGTAAATTTGGAAGATTAATCCCTTGTCAGTCGTATTGTTTACAGATATTTTCTCTCACTTTGGGTTTTTGCTGTGCAAAGGCTTTTGAGTATGATTAGATTCCGTTTGTCTATTTTTGTTTTTCTTTTCATTACTCTGGGAGACGAACTGAAAAAAAAACATAGTTCAGACGAAACTGAACTATGTTTTCCTTTAGATCTTTAATCTATTTTGATTTTGTTGTTATACATCATGTCAGAGAATGTTCTGATTTCATTTTTTTATTTTTAATGTGTAGCTGTACTGGGGCTATTTCTAAGGAGTGGCTTCTCTGTGTGTAGTGGAAGCTGGTGGGGAAGGCCAAGGAGAAACTGGATCAGGGAATGCGTGCGGTGGTGTACATGTGCTTTGGCTGAGAGGAGACGGGGAGAGTAGTTGGGGTAGAGAGAATAAGGTGACAGGTTATGGGTACCTCAGGGCAGTGGGTCCTAGAGAGACAGCTCCATGGAGACAGGGACATAAGCGGTTGATACAGTCACAGCCTGGAGAGCCCCGGATGCCAGGCTGTGAGCTTGGGATGACAGTTTGAAGCCGCAGAGCTGAGCAGGTGGGACAGCCTTGGCGTTCCACATTTGAAGGTGGGAGCCAGTGCTCTTGTCCATAGAACAGGCCTTCCACGGGGCTCAGTCACAGACCTTGGCAGGTCCACCTCTTCCCTGAAGCTCACACTGGCCCCCTCTCGCCCTCACTCAGAGCTTGAGCAGGAACCTGTTGTTTCAGGAGCCAGTGACCTTTGAGGACGTGGCTGTGTACTTCACCCAGAACCAATGGGCCAGCCTGGACTCTGCGCAGAGGGCCCTGTACAGGGAGGTGATGCTGGAGAATTATGCAAACGTGGCTTCCCTGGGTAAGGTCTCTCAGTGGCCCTCTGATAGTTGACGTCCTCCTCAATTGTCTTGGAGGTTCTAGTAGTCCTTAGGGTTCTGTGGAGATGCTGGGTGGGGAAATCCCAGATTCCTTCTGGCTTTGAAGGAAAGGACTCTTGGGGTGCCCCCAGGAGGCCTCAGTGCCTCCGTCCTTGCAGTGTTGTGGATGTGGGCCCTCTCCTGTGTGCAGGAGCCTCCCAGGATCTCAGTACATTCATCCTTCCTGAGGGGATGTCCTTTCTTCTGAGTCAGGGTGAGCTTGCACTTTCTCCCTGGGGAGAATCACTGTCTCCCTGATCTTTCCACGGAGTGTAGTTTGGAGCCCTTCCTCAGAACCCCTGTGTGGCTCATTGGTCCCCCAGGAAGCCCCCTTCTCCCCCCAGCTCAACTTGCCTGCCTTGGGGTGGGCAGAGGGATCTCAGTAACAGCTCTGGATGTCTCCCCTCAACCTGTCTGTCTCTCTTTCTTGCTGGAGTAGTGTCTCCATTCCCCAGACCTGATCTGATCTCCCAGCTGGAGAGAGGGGAAGCTCCATGGGACCCCAATCCCTGGGAAGCAGAGGATTTGAGAGGCATCTGTCCAGGTGAGTAAGGGGACTTAGCACCTTCTGGTTTCGCCTTCCTGGTTTACTGGAAGTGTTTCTTCTGCAGTGGAGAGCAAAGCTCCCTGTAGCTGACTGTACACTCGCTCACCGGTGTTGAGTTCCCATCCCGAACCTGTAAGAATGGTTTTCATGGTGGGGTGGTAAGGTTTCAGCCATACTTTAAGGAAAGTGTGATTCTGTGCATCAGACTGATTGATTTGTACCATAGCTATGATTTTATTTGCCTTTTTAGTGTTTATATCATTTTTAGCATTTTAAAGTTCCATAATGTTGTGGTTTACCATGAATTTGTTTTAAATGGGGCCATAGAAGAAAGGGCAAGACTATTCCTCCAGTACCACACTCTCAAGACACATCCACCCATCCTAAAATTTCCAGAGTCTGCTTACCCATCAGTCCTGGAAGGTTTTAATTACTTGGGTTTTCTTTACTTTAGGAAGAAACTTTTCAGGTCTCACTTCTCACACAGACTGTAATGTTGTAAAAAGTGATTCTTTTAGTGGTGACACCACAGTGGCCTACAGTTCTCCAATCACCTTATGTTCCCTCTGACTTCCTAAAAGAAAGAATCTTTTATCCCAGAATATTATGTGAAATGTTTAAAGTAGAATCATCTGGCTGTTACTTAGAATTCAGAATTGGGGGTGGTTTCCTGGCTTCCAGGTGGGGCATTGGGATCCATCGTTTCTCTGTTGGTGTTTCCGGGCTGCTAGCTGCTCCCCTTCGTCTCAAGGATGTCTTTTCCCTCCTTGAGGGTCTCCCTCTCTCTCTCTTTTAAAGCCTGTTTGAATTTCTTTCTGCTCCCTCTTATCTCTGCCATTCTTTTTTCCCCTCCTGCTTCCTTTCCTTCCCACTCTTGAAGTTCTCATTTGCCCACCTAGTAGAGCAGCACGCCTCTGCGGGCACAGAGGCCCACGGCAGGCCCGTGGGAGGGCTTCTCACGAACGTGTCTCAGCACTTGGATTTTGAAAGCAAGGCAGTGTGGCAGACTTTCAGTCTGAATCCCAATCTGATACTCCGAGGCGGCATGAAGTTCTACAAATGTAAAGAATGTGGCAAGATCTTCCGATACAACTCAAAGCTCCTTCGGCATCAGAGAAGCCACACTGGGGAAAAGCCCTTCAGGTGCAAGGAGTGTGGCAAAGCTTTCAAGTCCAGCTACGACTGTATCGTACACGAGAAAAATCACATTGGTCAAGGACCCTATGAATGTAAGGAGTGTGGCAAAGGTCTGAGTTCCAACACTGCCTTGACCCAGCACCAGAGGATCCACACGGGGGAGAAGCCCTACACATGTAAGGAGTGTGGCAAGGCTTTCCGTCGGAGCGCCGCCTACCTGCAGCACCACAGGCTACACACGGGGGAGAAACTCTATAAATGTAAGGAGTGTTGGAAAGGCTTTGGGTGTAGGTCACTTTTTATCGTCCACCAACGCATCCACACCGGGGAGAAACCCTACCAGTGTAAGGAGTGTGGGAAGGCGTTCAGCCAGAAGATCGCCTGCATTCAGCATCAGAGAGTTCACACCGGAGAGAAGCCCTATGAGTGTAAGGTGTGTGGGAAAGCCTTCAAGTGGTACGGCAGCTTTGTTCAGCATCAGAAAGTGCACCCCGTGGAGAAGAAGCCCATCAAGGCTCTCGGGCCGCCCCTGCTGCGTCCCCAGGGCCCCTCTGCACCCTTAGCTCCCGGGTGTCTCCAGGGCCCGGGCTCTGCTCCTGCTGTGGCCGTGGCCTTGCCACATGCCGTCCTCATTCCTGCCTCCGGGCCCGTGCTCATGCTGCTGCCCGCCTCTGGGGTTCTTTCGTCCCCTGTCCAAGTAGTTCGTGTCTTCCAGGGTCTTCCTCCTGCTGTGAAGCCTTCCCCAGTTATTCTGACCTCTTCTCCTCACCCTCCGTGACCTCTGTCTTGGCACTTCTCTGGCTGTTATAGCAGATCTCTAACCTACCTTCAGCTTAATCTGTAGCTTTTACACTGTACCTGTATTCCTACTATCTCAGCATAAACTCCATTGTAACTGAGATATATTTAAAGACTGTGTTTGTATAATATATTCTTTTTTCTTCTGGGTAGAAAATGGAAACACTTGACTTTCATATTGGTCCCTTTCAGACTTGAACAGTAATGGCCATATCTGTATCCTGGGGCTGCTGGTTTGAGAAGTGCTGGTAGGACGCCGTGGTGAATTAGGCACCTTTGAGATAGGACATCCCCATATAAGCCCCCTGTGATGTGAGAGAAGCTGCCTGTGAGAAACAGGCATGTAAGATCTGTCAGAGTTTAGAAGTGGCATCAGCTTCCAACCAGGGCCTTTAAAAATAAATGCAGGTGGTTCAGTGGCTGAAGGTGTGGTGTATTCATGCAGGTGAAGTTGGGTTGTCCTAGACACAGACCGTTGAGGCTCTTGTACGTCTCTGCTAAAAACCATGTGAAATAACCAGTTAGAAACCATATGTGGCTTCCCTGGTGGCTCAGTGGTAAGGAATCCCCCTGCCAATGCAGGAGACGTGGGTTTGATCCCTCGTCCGGGAAGATTCCCACATGCCGCGGGGCAACTAAGCCCAAGCGTCACAACTCCTGAGCCTGCTCTCTAGAGCCTGCGAGCCCTAGAGCATCAGCAAGAGAAGCCACTGCAGTGAGAAGCCCATGTACTGCAGCTGGAGAGTAGCCCCCACTTGCTGCAACTAGAGAAGAGCCCGTGCAGCAGTGAAAACCCAGCACAGTCAAAACCAAGTAAATAATAATAGTACTAAATGTGTGCAGTGATAACAATCATTTATATGATTGAGAGCAATCAGGTCTTGAAACATGAACTTGTTTTTTATCTTTAGTTTTGCTCTTGATACCTAGTTGTTTCTTTCTTTTTTTTTAAGCAAATGAACTTTTTAAAAATTTATTTGGCCATTCCAGGTCTTCACTGTGCACAGGCGCTTCTATAGCTGTGACACATGGGTGTAGTTGCCCCGTGGTATGTGGGATCTTAGTTCCATGACCAGAGATTGAACCCAGGCCCCTTTGCATTGGGAGCTCGGAGTCTTAGTCACTGGACCACTTTGGAAAGTCCTTGGTCGTTTCCTTTTAAATTTGGTTTCTTTAGTACGTGTACACCAAGACATTAATCTTTGCTCCATCCGTTGTGTAAATTTTTCTTAGTGGGCATTTTGGCTTCCTATTTGCAAGCAGTGCTGGTTTCTGCACTTTTCTCCAGATAGCATAATTTATAAATATGAGTTTGGCAAATTACTAAAGAAATAGGAGCAGGCGATCTGGGGAAAATTTGAATATGCCTGTGGAATTTTTAAAAAGTAACTTTTATTTATTTTTGTTTGCATTGGGTCTTTGTTGCTGCACGTGGGCTTCATCTAGTTGTGTGTGGGCTTCCCACTTCGGTGGTTTCTCTTGTTGCAGAACATGGGCTCTAGGGTGCTTTGATTCATGGTGACACATGGCCTTAGTTGCCCCATGGTATGTAGAATCCTCCCAGACCAGGGATCAAACCTGTAACCCACCAGACTCCTCTATCCCGCACTGTCTCCTGAAGTTAGCTCAATACATGTCCACTGATCAGTGATGCTATCTAAACATTTCATCATCTGCTGCCCCCTTTTCATTTTGCCTTCAAGCTTTCCCAGCATCAGGGTCTTTTCCAATGAGTTGGCTCTTCACATCAGGTGGCTAAAGTAGTGGAGTTTCAGCTTCAGCATCAGTCCTTCCAGTGAATATTCAGGACTGATTTCCTTTAGGATTGGCTGATTTGATCACCTTGCAGTTCAAGGGACTCTCAAGAGGTTGTGACAGGTTAGTGAAGTACAGTTTTAGATTGCTCTTGCTTTTGACCTTAAATGAGGTCTTTTATAACTATGCAAAGGACTATATGAAGTAATTTCTGGGAAAAGAACTTGAGTTAATGCATTACAGGCACAGCTTATTTTATTGTGCTTCATTGTATCTGTTTCGCAGATACTGTAATTTTTACAAATGGAAGGTTTGTGGCAGCACTGCATTATCATATAATGGCTAAGATATTTTAGCAATAAAGTATTTTTTAATTAAAGTTTTTCCTTTTTTTTTCCCTGACGTAATACTGTTATACACGTCATAGACTATAGTGTAAACAACTTTTATATGCACTGGGAAACCAGAAAATTCATGTGACTTGCTTTCTTGCTGTATTTGCTTTATCATGGTGGTCTGGAACCCAACCCACAGTATCTCCAAGGTATGCCTTTATTAACACAAACTTAAAGTAAATCCTTAAATGTTCATGGAAAGTTGCTTTTCTATCTACATGTTTCTATCTTGCAATCAGTGCTGCTTAAATTTTACCATATGTCTGAATAACCTGATGTAAAATGAGTAATTTTCTGGCCTCTCAGAGATTGATTTTATAAACACTTCTTATTGGAATTTAATTGATTTACAGCGTTGTGTTGGTTTCTGCTCTAAGCAAGGTTTCTGATTGTGGATATCCATGGTGATGCCCAGCCCTTGCGTGTGGACCACGCTTTGAGAGACTGCCTTGAGCAGAAGCTGTCTGGGGGTGTACATTGATAAAGGGCTTGCCCTGTTTCTCAGTGGTCTGGGTGGTGTCAGTTTAGAAGGAGAGAGAACAGCAAGTGGAATTGGTCTGTAGGGAAGAAGAAGGAAGGGGAAAGAGATCTGATGTGGCCTATGGAGTCCTTGAGTTCTCCCCTGCCTGGAAGTTCCTGAGGTGGACTGTGGCTGGGTTTTGCTGTTTTTGTTGTTTACTTGCATGTTGGCTGAAAGAACATTTTTTTTCTTACATAAATTAATACACTTTAAAATAGCTCCTGAGTTAAAGAGAGCACAAAGTGGATGCTGCAGATGGTTTAGAAATGAACAACAGTAGTCAGGATACTTAGCGGGGTCTATGCGATGTGGCAGAAGGTGGAACAAAGAGCAAGGTTTACAGTCTTGGATGCATTCTTTAGAAAACTAGTTTGAAGGCTTGCAGTTCAGAAAATTTGGGCTGGTGGTAGTGGTGGGAGCCAAAAAAATTAACCAGAAACTAAAACCAAACAAATAGACTCCTCCTCCTCCAGTAAACTTTGTGGAAATAAGATGCACAGTGTAGTTTCGTAAAGATGGTGGTTGAACATGTTGACATTCACACCCTCCTGAAACCCCATTAAGAAAAATGAATTAAAAGTTAAAAGACATAAACTCAGAAGGACAGTGAAAATAAGCTGATGATAACACTTTGGAAGCTCGAAATCAGATGAAAGAGTTGTGACTTGGAGCAGAGCTGAGGAAAGTAAATCCTAAGCCACATTGCAGGGAGCTGAGCAGTGCCCTCATGTGGCAGAAAAGCTTAGGAAAGACTCAGATAACTTCTGGAAATGTATGGGGATGCTAATGGGGCAAAGAACAGGAAAATTGGCTTAAAGTCTTTCTTAAAGACTTAGATTCTGGGTCACCTCCCCACTTTTCTCTCCTTGCTAGCAGTGTAGCAGGAATTTTGGGTGTCAGGGAACCACACTGAATGTTAAGTCCTTCCTGCTCTGACCAAAACCTCCTCACTTCTTGAGGATGCTGCTTCCCCAGCACCATCCCTCACATCACATATTCTGGGTTCTCTTTGTCAGTTTCAGGCCATTCTTTACCTCTCACTTAGCCCCCAAACCACCTCCACCTTTGAATTCTGTCATCAGGCTGGAACCTCTGGGTCACGTGCCCTTTGTTCCTTGAAGGTGTTAGTGCATCACCTGCTCTCACTCTGTTCAGCATTAGTCTTAATTCTTGGTGTTTTCAGTGGATGAGCCTGCCAGCAGCTCACCTCTCATTTTCCTTCTTACCCTTTCATTTTACCTGAACCACTCCTTTGATAGTGTCCTAGACCTTACCATTTTAAAACTTCACCCCTCTGTAACCTCAGCACTTTAAAAGTCTTGCTCTGTGACCTGTCTCTCCAGTTTCTTCCTTTTAGAATCCTGATGCTAACAGTCCCTCAGCTCCCCCTGTTTCCCGCTTTCACTGCCCTTCGCTTCCTTCATGCCTGTTCTTTCTTTATCCTGCTTAAAGTCCATGGTCAGTTATTACAGCAGTTCCTCCACATTTCCCTTTAATGGCCTTGCCCTTTTCTGGCTTTGGTATATACTCATTTGGCAGGACCCCATCTCTGACTAAATGCAGTTCTTTGCCTTCTTTGTGCCTGCATCCATGCTACCAGAAGTGGTCAGGAGAAAGCACATTGTCCTGTGGAATTATCCTGCTTGAGGCTCATGACAAGTAACTTCAAGTAGGCCCTGAGTGCCTCCTATAGTCATACTGTATCTCCAGGGTTCCCTTCATGTTCCTGGGCTGCTGCTCTGCACTCCTCTCTCAAACCTCCCAGTACCTCCTGCCCAGTCCTCACCAGCCTCAGCTGATACATTCTGCTCTCTGCTGGGATAACTGAGCTCCAGGGAGTGCCTGTGGCTTCATCCCTGGTGCCAGAGTGAGAAGACACAGATGGGCCCTACCTCATCTCTTCCACTTTTCAACTTGCAATATCTAATCTTCTACCACCCGGTTCTCATCTCATGTACTAAGGCAGTTCTGTCACAATCAGCAACTCGCTTCTACTTCCTAATTCTCGGTCAGTGTGCAGTTTCAGACAACAGAATCTTTTTTTGGGTTTTTTTTTTTTTGGCCACACCCTGTGGCTTATAGGATCTTAGTTCCCCAACCAGGAATTGAACCTGGGCCCATAGTAGTGAAAGCATAAAGTCTTGTCCATTGGACCATCAGGGAATTCCCCAGAATCCATTTCAACACGTTTAAGCACAGAGGGATTTGCTACAAACCACTAGACAGCTTACAGAATTCCCAAAAAGGAACCAAGCTGGGCTCTCACATATGCAGATGCCCAGAAAAGGGACCAAGGACACTACCAAGAGGCTCCAGTGGAAACCCAGCAGCTGCTGGTGCCTGCTACTAGACTGGCACCCTCACCGCACCGAAGAGAGGGGCTAGACCTCCAGGAGGTTTGCTACCTGTTGTGAGAAAAACCAAGTGCATCCACATCCATTTTGGTAGGATCCTGACTATACGGTCTCATGACCTTTATTTCCACCTTCCAAGAAGTTGTACCTGCTCAGTGGAAATTGGTTGTATGTGTACATCTAAATAGCAAGGACTCCAGGGAAATAATTTTTGGATTCATTCTCAGAAAGTGAGATTTATAATGTGGAGAAAGGAGAAAGGATTTTAAAAAATATTTTGGGCAGCTACAAAATATCAAATACTCTTTACAGGCATAGAAAATGACTGAAATCTCTGATGAATGTGCTATATTCATGGGAAGGGAAGGTGAATATCCAGATTTCAATTTTTACCA